CATATAACATGAATAATAAAATAAATACATAATATGTCATGATAAATAGATTTGGATTTGGATTTAATGTATCCACACATAATTTTCACACCTAACAGGTAATAATTATATACATGTATATATATTTAGGTAATCTTCAGGTAAATACAGGTAAAAACATAAAGAAATAGATTTTAGAAGAGAAATATCATTTTTTAAATCAAATTAATCGATATTTCATTAGAAATTTATAAACTGATTAATTACAGATAAATAAATAAATAAATAAATAAATAAATAAATAAATAAATAAATAAATAAATAAATAATTTATAACAGATAACATGAATAATACAATGAACACATAAAATGTCATAAGAAAAAGGACAGGAAAGGAATCTAGTTATCAATGTGCCTTGTGCATTGATCCCTGTTTCAAACTTTAAATAACTTATAACAGATAACATGAATAATACAATGAACACATAAAATGTCATAATAAATAAATTCTTTGGATGGATTTGTATCCGCACATAATTTTCACATCTGAACTGAAATCTACTCGTCGACCATCACACGCATCTTGTATGCAGCTATGTAGTCTTTATGTGTGTGAAAAAGTTTGAAGCAGGGGTCAACGCACAAGGCAGTCAGACACTTGTCACACTGATAGCTAGATTCCTTTCCTGCGCTTTTCCTTTTTTCACCAATTGATTCGAGCCTCTGCCTCTCTGCCACCGAGCACACGACACAAGCACGGGTAATGTTTTTCTTTAAGCCTGTTCCAACGATCTTCATGGGGAAGTGGTGCCCCTGCAGTCTCATGATGGGTTCTGCTGCAGTGCTAGGCCTCCCCACAGGCTTTGTACACATTCCTGGGACACATGCTCTATTAACGGACTGCACAAGTTCGGTTACAAGTTGTTTTCGGAAAACTCTGTGAAGCATAGGTTTCCTTGGAGTTAGGGTCTTGTAGCACAGGTAAGCATTCAAAGTAGCTAGAGAAATCACATGGAAAATCACGCGCTTCCACCACTTCAGGGTCCTGGCATTGAAAGTAGCGTAAGAAACCATTTGATCAGATCTACGCCTCCCATATACTTGTTGTACGCATTAACGATAGCAGGATTTTCGATGGGTGTTCCTGTTCGTGGTGCCACTCTTCCACAGGGGGCTTTTGCAGCTTCCTCGATGGTAGATAACAGGTAAACAACTTTACGGTCATGGTACTTCACAAGAACAAGTTCATCATTGCACATACTGAACATATTACCTTTGTCCACCTTTTTGTCCTTTATCCGCTGCTTAATTCCCTTCCGGTTAACTCGTAATGTTCCAGTGGCACCACACTCGAGCACAAACAAGTCAGTGTAAAGCTGTGGTGAACTATAATAATTGTCCATGTACAAAATGTAACCTTGTCCAAAGTATCCTCGCATCATGTCCATAACTAAGTCGTATGTAGCCCCATTTGCACTAGCAGGTGTCTCCGATTTCCCAGTATAAAGTTTGAAACGTAAACAATACCCAGTCACTGCATCACACAACATGTAGGCCTTAATCCCATACTTCTTGGGTTTGTCTGGATTGTACACACGAAAAGACAGATTTCCTCGCCACGGTACCATCCCTTCATCCAAAGACAGATGTTGGTGTGGACGAAACACAGTCCCGAATGAAGAAATAATGTTTTTGTAAAGGGATCCGAGTTTGTATAGAGGGTTGTAACCCGCGTTTCCTCGACGTACCTGTGCGCTGTTATCTGCCAAATGAAAGAAGCACATGAGGAGCCAAAACCTGTCCCTTGGCATTAATGACGGAAAAAACGGTGTGGTATTCACCTCCGATGTCGTCCAATACTCGGAAATGTCCAGCTGAACTACTAAACCCATCGCAATCGTAATTGCGATAAACACCTTCATTTCATCCAGTGTGGTTTTGACCCAGTTACGAAATCGGGAAGAAGGCTTGAGGTTTCCCTCATTTCGTTGTAGATACTGCTCTGCATAGCGATTAGTTTCGTCTGCCATAGTCTGGAAATCATCATCCTTGATGAATAGGTTGAAAAAATCAAGTGGCGAACGCTGATCATCTGGCATTTCAACATTTAGTCCAGGGACGCCTGTGAAGCCCATGTCAGTGCGAGGTCGGTCACCATCTTGCCAGTTTGCCATGAAATTATTCGGATTTTCGTTGACTTCTTCATCGGAACTGTCGGCCAGATCATCAGACTCAAATCCCTCAAACTCTTCGTCACTTTCATCGTCGTTAAATAATTCGTTGAAGAAGTTTTCATGTTGTGGTAAGAACGCCGCCATTTTGGGTCACCCATAAATAAACTCGCAACTACACACTTGTTTTAAATAACAACCAATCAGATTTTAGCTACGTCACTGAGCTAGTTTTAACCCCAAACGTATTACCAAATAAGAAAAAGGTTTTTATTAGACTTTATTTCCATTGGATGTTTAAAAATACGTTATAAAAATATGCTAATGAACAATATGTCGTAACCCGGAATATTCTGGGTTCAGCTCACAGCACGTGCATTCGAAACCCGGAATATTCCGGGTTCAGCATTACCAGGGTTAACATGATTAATCTTAAAGTTACAAATAAAGAAAAGCCTACTAAATTTTCTGCAGCAAGCTAGATAATTAATCCCAAGGGATTAATTGTACCTCTCTCATCATTTTCTTCTAAAGTTACAATAAGAACTTTTTCAGTATGATAGAATGGGGTTTTTATACAACTACCTTAAAAATTAATACATGTATTCTTGAATTTACATAAAAGGAAAAAAGTAAAATAAAAAAAAAAAATTTTTTATTGAAATAAAAAACATATCTTCTTTTTATCTATTTCTTGTTTTTAAGAATTCAATGAAATCATAACTATTTTAACCAAAAAAAAGTATAAACATTTATATTTACATCCACATTTCAGAGTGTTCATAGCATTCCAATACACTTAACTTCAAAACAAACTTCACTTGCAGACAGAGGTGGTAATTAATCTCAATGTGACAGATAAAGAAAATGCTCTGGATTTCCTTAAGGAGGAAAGCTAGTTAAGCCAAAGGGACTCAAAGCAGCATTCAGTTTACAATGGGAACAGCGTCAGCAGTTATCTCTCTTTGCCAATGCATTCTTATATAAAGTTAAGGAATCTACCCCACCACCCCAGCTCCAAACCAGGGGACATAGAGAAACAAACTTAGCATCAAAATATGTCTTTCTGCCTATTGAACTACCATACCAAATTTGATCTTAATTGGGCAACCACAAAAAAAGTTATTAGGAAAAAACAGAAAATTTGTGGACGGAAGAAAGACAGACGGACAGACGGACAGACAGAGTGATTACTATAGGGCACCCGCAAATCCTTGCGGGGCCCTAAATATGTACTTAGTTAGTCTGTTCAATTCCTAGGAGCTGAGAAGAAGATTTTTAGAGAATTTCAGCATTTTCACTATATACTAGTAATCAATAGAGCCCCTCCCCTACACCAGGACCCCCGACCCTGGGGTCATAAAATTAACAATTCTGGAAGAGACATTCTTGCTATTCATAACTATGCAGAGAAGAAGATTTTCAAAGAAATAATGCATTTTCACTATATAATCTATATAGCCCCACCCTAGCACTAGAACCCCTGATCCTGGGACCATGAATTTCACAATTTTGGTAGAGGACTCAATGCTCATTAGATTCATGCCAACAGTTTTTTGCTTGATGTCCAGGAGTAAAGAAAAAGATTTTTTTAAGACTGTACTAATTTAAGTGGTTTTGGCCCCACCCCTCAAGCCCCAAAGGGGGGCAGGGACCATGAAATTCACAATTTTTGTTCCCCTACACTTATACTTGTAGATGCTTTATGCCAAAATTGGTCGAAATTGGTTTAGTGGTTGCAGAGAAGAAACTGAAAATGTTCAAATATTATCACATGATGCAGGACGACAGACGAAAACTGATAGCAATAGTTTTAAAAATAACCATGGCTTTGCTGTTCTGGAGAAGAGGATTTTTAAAGATTTTCCTTAATACTTATAACTCATTGTGGTTCTGTCCTTCCTCATAGGTTAGAATTTGAAGAAATAGGAATCTAAACTACCTGAGGATACTTTCATGTAACAAGAGGCCCATGGGCCACATAGCTCACCTGAGCACATTGGCTAGGAAATAAAAGCAGAAATCACTTCAGTATTGAGAAGTTTACAAGTGGGATTTTAAACTACCTGATGATGCTTCCATACAATAAATGCCTTTGTTGTTTTTGAGCAGATGATTTTTTTCCCTATTAATTCCTTTAATCCCCCCAACCCCACCCCCATTGTGCCCCAGCCCTACCCCTGGCAGCCCTCATTTGAACCACTATGACTTTGTACTACCTGAGGTTGCCTCCATATCAATATTTAAACATGGCTTTTCTGTTCTTGGGGAAAAAATATTTCATTGATATTTCTTGGCTAAACTTTGATCCCCAACTGTGGCCCACCTATCCAACCCCTACTACCCATTCATGACTTAACAAACTTGAATCTACACTATGTGAGGATGCTTACATAAAGTTATGACCAATCATGGCTTTGTGGAGTTTTTAAAAATTTTCCGATGTATTCATTCCTCTATAAAACTTTAATCATTCATTGTGTCCCCACCCTACCCTCTGGGGTCATGACTGGAGCAAACTTGAATCTACCTGTACATTTCCTGAGGATGTTTTCACATTAGTTTCATCTTTCCTGGCCAAGTGGTTCTTGAAAAGAAGATTTTCAGATTTTTCCTATATATTCCTATGTAAATCATTGATCAATCAACCTGATAGGAAAGTCAACGTCAGAAAATTATGACACACTGGAATTGGGCACAATCAATCATGTCAGTGTACCATTGAAATCTTTTAATAATATTTTGAAGCTAGGGTAAGTGAAGAAAAATTAGGATAAGGTCATGGTGAGAAATTCACAACACAGTTGTAAAACATTTGTTGAATACAGAGTTATTAAAATATTCACTTACCATTACAAAATTTGTAGTTTTCAGCTTAGCCAAAAGTTCAACAGTTGTTACTGCAATGTTAAAGTCTGCTGCTATTTCCAGATCCTGCAATGTATGAAATTTAAAATTTGATGCAAAATTTCCCTTGATATTTAAACTTTGGTGAAAAATGTAAAATCCTTATGATAAAACTAGAAAGTCTGCTATTGCAAGCAATACTATGTCGCCCCGAACTGGACAAGACTTTCATTTTTTCATCACTAAAACAATACCCATTAGCTAAGCTTAGACAACCATTAACTTGTATCAATCCTTTTGGTACTTTGATTTAAAAATCAAAGTTAAGGCCATAATAAAAATATTCCTAGATTCTCATCCCCGCCCGCCCCGATTTTATACCCCCGCCTTGATTTTTTTATTTCTGTTTTTCTTCGTCATAATTCTGATCGGGATCGGTAATCATCTACCATTCTACTTTCGTTTTAAATCCCGCGAAAGTCGACATGATTTTGACAGCTGAAACGATGGAAATAGCTGTAATACATGCGTATATTATATTTTGAACAAGGGTCATTGGTTGAAAAAGATTGGTGATGATCTGAAGTAAGAGATAATTGAACCTTTACTATGACTTTTATTTGGTTATTGTAGGTAAAATTACACCGATTGACCAGATCAATAAAATATCTGCGAAATTGAAAAAATAAAAAATATAGAATAAAAGCCGCCCACCCGCCTCGATTTTTAAAAAATTTCGGATGAGAATCTAGCAATTTATTTATTATGGCATAAAGGATTTTCACCTTTCCCCTGTTTCCATGGGAACTATTGACAATTTGCAATTTATAAATGCAACACGCACAATTACAGGTACTAATCATTAAATCAATAAAGATTCATGACGAATATCCAAGGGACAAGAGAGAACACTCTCAGACAAAATTTATCACTTTTTGCAGGTTTCCATGGCAATGGTAGCCATTATGAAACTGAATGACCACACAACACAACTACAACCGGTGATCATCCTTTGAGGAAAGTTTCAGGAAGATTGTCACAGCCATCTCCGAGAAACAGCCTGGAGAACAAAAACATGTGTACAATCGCAATAGAATTTTCAATTTAAATTACTATGGCAACATCAACAAGAGGCCCAAGGGCCACAGCGCTCACCTGAGCACATCGGGCTTGAATTCTTGAAAAGAAGATTTTAAAAGGTTTCCCTATATATCCCTATGTAAAACTTGGGTCGGCCATTTTGGTCCCACCCTATCCCCAGGGCCGGGGGTCATGATTTGAACAAACTTGAATCTGCACTACCTGAGGATGATTCCACAAGAGTTTCATCTTTCCTGGCCCAGTGGTAATTGAGAAGGATTTTTTAAGATATTTCCTATATTTTCCTATGTAAAACTTGGGTCGGCCATTTTGGCCCCACCCTTGCCCTGGGGGTCATGATTTGAACAAACTTGAATCTACACTACCTGAGGATGATTCCACATGAGTTTCATCTTTCCTGGCCCAGTGATTCTGGAGAAGAAGATTTTTAAAGATTTTTCCTATGTATTCCTATGTAAAACTTGGGTCGGCCATTTTGGCCCCATCCTTGCCCCTGGGGTCATGATTTGAACAAACTTGAATCTACACTACCTGAGGATGATTCCACTTGAGTTTCATCTTTCCTGGCCCAGTGGTTCTGGAGAAGAAGATTTTTAAAGATTTTCTTATATATTCCTATGAAAAACTAGGCCATTTTGGCCCCACCCTTGCCCCAGGGGTCATGATTTGAACAAACTTGAATCTACACTACCTGAGGATGATTCCACATGAGTTTCATCTTTCCTGTCCTAGTGGTTCTTGAGAAGAAGATTTTTAAAGATTTTCTTATATATTCCTATGTAAAACTAGGGTCGGCCATTTTGGCCCCACCCTTGCCCCAGGGGTCATGATTTGAACAAACCTGAATCTACACTACCTGAGGATGATTCCACATGAGTTTCATCTTTCCTGTCCTAGTGGTTCTTGAGAAGAAGATTTTTAAAGATTTTCTTATATATTCCTATGTAAAACTAGGGTCGGCCATTTTGGCCCCACCCTTGCCCCAGGGGTCATGATTTGAACAAACTTGAATCTACACTACCTGAGGATGATTCCACTTGAGTTTCATCTTTCCTGGCCCAGTGGTTCTGGAGAAGAAGATTTTTAAAGATTTTTCCTATGTATTCCTATGTTAAACTTGGGTCGGCCATTTTGGCCCCATTATGATTTGAACAAACTTGAATCTACACTACCTGAGGATGATTCCACATGAGTTTCATCTTTCCTGGCCCAGCGGTTCTGGAGAAGAAGATTTTTTAAAAATGCCATTAATTTTTAACAAATTCATGATTATCTCCCCTTGGAAAAGGGCGTGGCCCTTCATTTGAACAAACTTGAATCCCCTTCTCCCAAGGATACTTTGTGCCAAGTTTGGTTGAAATTGGCCCAGTGGTTCTTGAGAAGAAGATGAAAATGTGAAAAGTTTACGACGCCGACGACGACAGACGACGGACAAATTTTGATCAGAAAAGCTCACTTGAGCCTTCGGCTCAGGTGAGCTAAAAACACAAAACTGATAATTATGTATCTTAGTGTAGTCTACTTGCATGCAAAATTATATAATAATCAGACTCAAACTGTATTTGGAATAGCATTTTGAAAGTACTTCAAAGAAATTTCTATTTTTAGTAACCAAGGCAACACCTTCATCGAAAACAAAATTTTTGATTTGGATGAACAGTGTTACTGTGTTTACTAAAAATAGAAATTTCTGTAAAATAATTTAAACATAGGTAATCAGAGATTATAGAGCTCACCTCAACGAATGTTGTCTTTAAGTAAGGCAAAGTCACACAATTAACCAACAAAAAGAGTACACCCAAAAATGCAAAATTTATGCAATTTTGATTTGATACTTAGGAATAGACCTATATAAAAACTTCAAACTAGTTCTTCTTTATGAAAACGTAATTAAAATCCAGCATCTGCAGCAAGTTTGAGAGTTTTCATCCCTTGATGCATCATTTGTGCAAGTTTGGTTTATATAAGCCTTATACAGGCAATTCTCGATAAACCGCCACCTTTTGTAATTCAGAAATCATGGCGGTATAACGAATTTGGCGATGAATTGAATTTTCCATCATTTAGGAAACAAGAAGTAGAGTTACCGTTCTTAACAATACCATTCGCGTTTCTATTCGTATTATTACAGGTACATGTATATAAAATTATACATACATAAAAGTAATTTTTGTGTACAGTTTAGCTAAAACAAAATGTGCAGTTATAAAATAAAGACAAGTATATGTGTATGCATGTAAATCTGCAGTCTGATATTGAAAAAAAAAACAAAACCAAAAAAAAAAAAAACATGCTGGGTCGACCGTCGTTAGATATTGCCGATAGTACGTAAAATGAATTCTTAAATAAATCCATTGTTAATGGCATCATTGTTAATGAAACGTCCAGAATTTATACCGTATATTTATTTTTTAAGCAATTTTTTGTATTGTTTAAAGCAGAGATCATTAAAATAATATCGTTATCTGCGTGCTTTAACAACGACAGCTTTCAAGGCAAAGCCGTGACTAAATGATTTTTATTTAATAGAAAACAATTTTTTAACAGTTGATGTTAAAATTATTGTTTATTTAATTCTTAATTCTTAATTTATAATTTAATTGCATGTACCTTGTCTGGCTTGGCATACTTAACAACAGGGATAGTGTCAACCAATTAGCCGCGCTCCACTGACCACGCACACCTGTGGCGGTATATCGAGATAATTGACACTTAAAAATGGACGTTTGTTGTGAAAACAGGGTGGCGGATGGCGGTGTGCGAATTTGGCGTTATAAAGAGAATTTTATTATAGCAGGAAAAACGTTCCTGGGAAATCATGGCGGTATTGCGAAAATGGCGATGAATCGAATGGCGATAATTCGAGAATTGACTGTAGTTTCTAAGTAACAGACCTGCACCCATAACTTTCACTAGGTCCATGATCTGAAAAATATATGTCGAATTCAGCATCTGAAGCAAGTCCATTTTTGTGCATCCTAAGATGTATCATCCATGCAAGTTTGCTCAACACAGAGCTCAAAGTTACTTGGAAATGAAACCTGTGTAAAAAAAAACTAATCTTTTCACTAATCCAGAAAATGAAGGTCAGATTCAGCATCCTAAGCCAGCCTATCAGAATGCACCCTTAAATGTACCATCCATGCAAGTTTGGTCATTAAAGGGCTCAAAATTACTTGGAAATGAATCCTGCACCAAAAACTTTAACCTGTTCACTAAACTGAAAAATGTAGGTCAGATTCAGCATCTGAAGCAAGTCTGGTAGTATGCATCCTAAGATGTATCATCCATGCAAGTATGGTCATTATAGGGTTCATAGTATCTTTGAAATGAAACCTGCACCAAAAACTTTAACCTGTTCACTCAACTGGAAAATGTAGGTCATATTCAGCATCCGAAGCAAGTCTGGTAGTATGCATCCTTAGATGTATCATCCATGCAAGTTTGGTCACTATAGAGCTCATAGTTACTTGGAAATGAAACCTGCACCGAAAACATAAACCTGTTCACTCATGCAGAAAATGTAGGTCATATTCAGCATCCGAAGCAAGCCTGGTAATGTGCATCCTAAGATGTACTATCCATGCAAGTTTGGTCAACATAGGGCTTATAATTTCTCGGATATGAGACCTACGCCAAAAACTGCACCAAACATAGGTAATCAGAGATTACAGAGCTCACCTCAACGAATGTTGTCTTTAAGTAAGGCAAATTAAGTCACACAATTAACCAACAAAATGTGTACATCGAAAAATGCAAAATTTATGCAATTTTGATACTTTGGAATAGACCTATATAAAAACTTAAAACTAATTCTCCATCATGAAAATGTAATTAAAATCCAGCATCCAAAGCAAGTTTGAGAGTTTTCATCCCTTGATGCATCATTTGTGCAACTTTGGTTTATATAATCCTTATAGTTTCTTGGTGATAGACCTGCACCCATAACTTTTACGAGGTCTATTATCTGGAAAATGTATGTCGAA